GGAGGGAGGGAGGGAGGGAGGGAGGGAGGGAGAAAATTCTTGTTTTGTTGGGTATGGGATTGAGGGAGCAATCTAATCTGAAGAAGTTCCCATATGAGAGAGAGAGACAGAACAAACCTAGTTCATCAGCAAGCCTCTTGCCATCTTCAGTGGGTATTACTCGATCATCCTCCAGATCACACTTGTTCCCAACCAGAATCACTTGAGCATTATCCCAGGAGTAAGTCTTGATCTGAGTTGCCCTAAGGGAGGGATACAGAAAAATTCTGGAACAGATTTGCTATTGGGTTTGTAATTTCCCAGTTACCTAAAAAGAACAGGCAGTGACAGATACAGGACAGAAGAATCATCCTTGTTTCATCAGTTCATATGCACCACACCTACTCTCTTCCTCCAACTTTGAGTGAGATGGGCAGTGACTAAATTTGAAATATAAATAAATAAATAAACTTTTGAAAAAGGAACACTGTTGATTTGAATGGTGATTGATCTCCCGCCTTTCTCTGGTTTACAGGAATGGGGAAAGGGAAATCAGAATCCTTAGTACCTGTACACACCCAGAATGAGATACCAATACAAAATATTTCACTTGGCTTATTCAGACAGGAAGTTCTTAACTCTCTTAACTTCTCCTGCAATCAATCCCACTGGTCTCATCAAATAATGGTACGCCTGACAGCAGAGACTACTAGTCAGCAAAAAATGGCATCCCACTGACAGTGGCACCCAGCTTTTCTAAGATGAGCTTTTGAGTGTAAGAATTATAATTCTGGAAGCTCTTTTTCGAACTGTAGAGGACTAGGAGGAGAAAAGGGTCAGGACAGATGAAGTTTTGGACAGCTCTCAGAGGGTGAGGAGTATGGCGGTAGACATGTCAGTAGGAAGATAAAGTGACAGAAAGAAGAAAATGCTGTGATTACTGTTGGGGTTCTGAAATGGAAGGAGGATTCATTCCTACCTCATAGACAGCCATGAGGAGAAGAGAAGAAAGTGAGGGAAACTGGAAAAAAAAAGGTGGGCTCCAAGCCCCTCCCACACAAAGCAGCAAAGCTAGGCCGCAGCGAAGCCACCCCTCGCTTTGTGCTCGTGTGAGACAGGCCTGGTTGAAACCCCATATTTTCCAACAATTATGAAGAGAAAAGAGCACTATGTATTTAGAGAAGGAACACAGGATCTTAGTGGTGGTAGGTAGATAGGGAGGAAGGGAATATTGATAGATTAGGAATGGATTTTGGATTTGGAGAAGGGATTATTGTTGTATATCAAGGAAGGATGGAAAGTGAAAGTTACTTGTTAATGGTATTGATTTACAGATGCAATAGAAGACATGAATCATAAATAATTTTATTAATCAGTACATGCGACAGAGGCCAGGAATGGAGGATCTCAATAGTTTGGGAACATGGATTGTGTGTGTTGATTGTGGGCATGTTAATCTATCATTTGAAAGAAGGAAGAGCTGTTAAGGGGAAAACTTCTAAAACTGAGCCATCATTTGGGGTTTGAGGAGTCTTTGGAAAGTGGTGTTTCATTAGAGCTGGTTATGTAAGCCATGACTAGGAGGGGTTCTTGTCACTGTTGTGGCCATTTCTCATTGGTTGGAGGGGTTTCTGCGGAGGGGAGAGTAGAAGAATTGTGGCTGTTCTTTTTGCGTTTTGAAGTGTTTGGTGGGAGGTTGGGGAGTGTGGTTTATTATTATATGAAAAGGAATTCATTTTAACTTATTGTTATTATATTATTATTATTATTATTATTATTATTATTATTATTATTATTATTATTATA